CGCGGCTCGCCGTTAATCGAGTAGTTGACCTATCAGTTACGATCTCTGGTTTTCAGTGACAGCAAAGTTATACCGTAAATAAATTCGCGCGTTCCGAGAGAATATCCCCCCCCCCCGCCGGGCTGGCTGCGAGGATCGTGACGAACCGCGCGGAATAATGCGGGCCGGCGATATGAATTATCAGCCCTCTCGTTTGGAAATTCGGCGGATAATCGCGGCGAGACTGGCCGAATACGCGTGACGTGCATGAATTAATGGGCGCGAAATTGCGCGCTCGGTCAATAGCGCGCATTAATCACGTAACGTCGTGATTTCTTAACGAAGATGTCGTACGCTCCTTCGCGATTTATTGCCGCCATTTGCCGGGCGTCGGTCTCCTCGAGTCCGTATTCGCCGCGACAGCGGCAGACGGCCGATTTATTTGAATTCAGTTCGCCGTAATTGAAAAGGAATCCTCCGATTTCGTTTATTAATGCACCTCCGAACGTATCCGCCCGATCGTGCACGTGTGATTTTTTCTCTCCTTCTCTGGGAACTGCAATGCTCGATGAATCGGCACGTTGATACTACATAAATCGAAACGCTTTTAGCTGCAGCTTCGGAATGAAAGTAAATGCGTTAATCTAATTCCCGCCCGCTAATGCCGGCTATCAAGATTAGGCGCGCGCGCGCGCGCTTAACTTCGTTCAATTTCAAACGTTAATAAAATTATAATCCGATACTGAATAAATTTCGGCGCTTTCAGTCGGAATTTTCGTACTTGCCTTTTCGCGCTAAAACGAATCCGCCGGACCCCCAAAGGCGACTGTCCACTTAATAGAATTTTATCCCATTAACGTGCACTAGCGAGATTAGAATGAACATTTAATTTCATACGTCGACGGATTCGTACATCTACTATTATCTCCCACTCCCCCCCCCGCCCCCGCCGTAGAGTGTCACACGGCAAAGTGTATGGAAGAAATGTTTTTAATTAAAATTTTTCTCGCGGCATTGCACGGTGAGCTTAACGCATTAACAATGCGCTCGGAATGGAAGCGTTAAATTTGTAGTCGTTATAATGCAACGACGACTTACTGGATGTACATCGTAATCTCGTTCTCCACAATGGCGTCTGGCAAAAAGCTTCTGTTTAAAGGCTTTATACGCGCGCGCACACGTGTGCGTACGTATGTATAGATCCGTGCTCGAGCATTCGCGCACAGTCACGTAACGAAATAACGGAAATTAAAACATTGTTTTCCATCTCCGCCGCCATAAAAGTCTCCGCGGAATACTGCCGTGGAATCAAATGATACGTTTATTGAATACCGCGTTAACCGGGAACTCTCTTCAAATTCAGAAGCGTAATCTTCGTAACCGAAATTAAATGCTATTTCGCGATCTCTATTATGCGCTCTACCACTCGATATTTTATTCACGAATGAGCAATCCACAATGCACGATTTTTGTGCATTTATATTTAGCAATTATGAGTGACGTAAGCCTAAGGTTAAATAATATTGCAAAACGAACGTTGACGCGGTTTTGGATAAAAATTCAGTCTTTTATGAGCCCACGGATGATAATAATACCCTGCTCTTCGTACACAAAACCCGTATATTATGTTCTCCCTATCTCCGAGGAACTCGCGAAACGGAAAATCGTCCTAATAACTTTTCATCCCCGAGATCGCGGGAATAATTGAATTTCAGTTGTAATAACCAGTGGAAAATATTAACGACGGTTGAGCGTAGGGATAAGAGCTTATTTTAGCTTTTAATTAAAGAATGCATTCAAGTTTCACTCGTAATAAGCCGAGTTTCCTCGCTCGCACAGTCCGATCATTACACGCGGAATTAAAACGTAACGGAGTCGAGTGTCTGTGAAGTCGCGCTTATGCTAGGAAAATTATGTTAAACAGGATCATTTTAATTGCAAATGGCCGATTAGCTGGTTCGTCAGGCTCGAAACAAAGGGACGGTGTCGGTATGCAATATGGGACACGCATGGAAATCATCTAGAACTGATTAAATATCGCTACAAATTTAGCGGCATGCAATTCACGCGAAAACGCCGTCAAAGTACCATCCCCGATACTGAATATCGATGGAAACGTTCGATGGGAACGCTCGTGTAACGAGGTCGAGCATTCTACCGGTATTATTCGGTTTACAGCTAGTGACATAAAACCCGCCGCACTTTATCTCCTCGCGTGTAACGTGGTTGCGTCGCGCGAAAATTGCAATCTCTTGAATATTAAAATGCATACACGGGTAACCGCGGAGCGAATTGATTGGGACGGGCACCATGTGGACCGAGGGCGCGCAGAAAGGGCGGAAGTGAAATGCTAACAAGTGACATCGCACAAGAATAGCAATAAGTAATGTCGCACATGTGCGCGCATGACGCGCATATGAAATATAGTTGGCCCAGATTATTGAGAAATCGTATCGTATAAGCGTGTAAATAGCCGAACGTGACCAAGCGGCCAGTCGACGGTGGGTGGGTCTACGTTTTCTCCCCGGGAAATATCGAGAGAAACTCGAGGTCGAAATCCATCCACACGGATGGAAAATCAAACAAGAAGAGAGAACGAGAAGGCGACTTTATTATTATCGCGGACACGGCTATTGTTTGGCCCGCTTGCCTTCGTTGGGCCAACGAAAGCGGCTTCTGCGGGAGAGTACCTCTCTCTTACGAAAATATGAAATATTTCACACAGCATTATTTCCCGGCCGCAAACACGCTAATCCGATCGCGCGCGCTGTGAGTTTTGAAAAATATACAAATATCCGTTAACGAAAAATAAGTACGAAGCCGAGGTGTAACGTCGCGGTCGCTACTGTAATTTTATCTCCTCACTTTGTCGCAGAGTGTCTCTTCTTGTTTCAAATATCAACAAACAAACGGTCTACGAAACGGTCTCGCGGATATATGGACCGGAAAAATGAAAAAAATGAGTAAGTGTTTTTAGAATCGGGAAGGAGACACCTTGCGGACATGAGAGTCAAGATACCGCGAACTTGGCGAGGGGAAGCTCGCCCGCTGAGAAAACTGCGTTATAAGTTTAAGATCCCGCCGGAAAAGCGCGTATGGAGACCTGTTGATCACGGCGATACGAGATCCGACGAGACGGCCGAAAATTCTTACGACATGGACATACATATTTCGTCCCGAAGAACCGAGAGGAGCTATTTTCCGCTATCTTCCGCCGTCATTATAAACGAGTATTCGTATGAATGTATCGGGAGAGAGAAACGCGGATGTTCTCTCTCTCTCTCTCTCTCTCTCTCTCTCTCTCTCTCTCTCTCTCATCGATATCTGCTGCCGCTCGCACAGACGAAATTTCGCCCGATTTTCACATGTCGAAATCTTTTCTACGGAAACGAAATATGGGAAGAATTTGCATTCGTCGACGGGACGATGGGTAGAATGTCGAAGATTCGCGCGCGTTTTATCGATGCCATTTGCGGCGGCGGCTTTGTCCGGCCTCTTTTTCCGCATCGAAGATCGCCGATGGTCGGACTCTATCGCCGATCGATCGAACGCGAATGCGAATGCTAGAGGGAACATTCGTGGCTGCGCTTTCCCATTTCCCGGCAATTTCCGAGGTGGGACATGATCGATCATGAAACTTTCTCCCTCCCTCCCTCCCTCCCTCCCTCTCTCTCTCTCTCTCTCTCTCTCTCTTTCTTTCCCTCTTTGCAACTCGACATGAGTAGCATAGTATGCAGTATTCTCAGTTCTTCGCCGGTTTAATTCTCACTCAAAGATGAAGGTCGGTGCGTCGTTAAATGTCGGAACGCAAAGCATTTATTTCGTCATCGTTCATCGACGGGATGAAATTTGTAAAAGCGCGCGCCATGAGCGTAATATTGAAGGATTAGGTCGCGGGAATTTGCCGGCAAAGAAGGAGGCCGCGAGGAGTTCGTTGGGTATTCTGGCGGTATCGCCCTCATTGTAAAGGCACACCGATTATTGCACACCGCGGTGCGCAAGAGCAGCTCGGAATCGCCGACGCGTCGAAAAAGCAACGGATAAAAATTGGTGGGTGTAGAGGAGAGACGTGACCGGTGTATCGCGAGGGGCCGAATTTCCTGTGAGCGGAATATACCGTCACATATTTAGAAGAAATACCATGGCGCGGGACGACGTGATCGGTGAGACGAAATTGGAAACTTTGATGTTACAAAATAACAAAAAGTACAAAATCTAAGAAAGAGCAAGGAAAAAGATACGTGCGGAAGCATGTGCGAAATACGTGCCGTTATCAGATCCTTAAATTGCAAGCTCTCTTTAATTCTCGCAACGCAGTCCGCCTCGTCTTTCGCGAGAAGAAAAAAGAAGGTACCGTTATTTTAATCCCGTTACAAACTACGGGGATTAAATTCTTCGTCGAGATTCACGATTCGAATGAGATAGCGCGACGCAACAAATAAACGAATGGTAAACGATTAATCACAAGGTAACGAGGATCGGGAAGCTGCGGAGAGAGGAGAGAGCGGTCAACATGGAGAATAATTAAGCTGCGATTCATTAAATTCGCTAAATCGTTTCAGTAATAATTAAATAACCGGCATATGCGAAGGCAAGTGTGGCGAATGTATCAATAAATCTGCCAGCGAGAAGAATAGAGGTAAAGAGAGAGAGAGAGAGAGAGAGAGAGAGAGAGAGAGAGAGAGAGGGAGAGGGGGAGAGAGAGAGAGAGAGGGAGGGAGGGAGGGAGGGAGAGAGAGAGAGAGAGAGAGAGAGAGAGAGAGATTACTCTGGTGCCGTCGATATCACGGAGGTTATGAATATTCATGACGCTGTCGCGCAATATTAACGCGTTACCTCGATATTTTCGTATCTGACAAAAAAGATTTCGCGCAGTATCGGAATTTTCTCTTCATTTCTTCCCTCGCTTCGTTGTTTCCTTCCTTTTCCCGCCCTGCCTCTTTTTGCCTGCCTCCGTAATACCGCGGGATAATAAATAGACGCATAGAGCTTGGCCACGGCCGTTCTCAGTTGTGACTCACCTATAGGTGATGAAGGCGAACACCAGGGCTACCAGAGACAGACTTCCTCCGAGGACGACGATGAGGCTCAGCACACCGTCCTGGTCGAAGGGACTGGCGATACCCGTGGAAACGCCATTAGCTATTCCGCCGCCGGGCTGCGGGAAGCCGTGAATCGCGCCGGTGTACAGCGTCTCCATGTCGCTGTTATGCCAACATCTATAACAGTAAATTCCATTGCGGGCGATTGAGCAAAGCCGAGCACAAACGATTCAATATCGAAGAGACGGAGGAGAATCGCTTTTATAAACACGAGACCAAGCTCGGCGAGCGTCCACTGCCGCGGACGACGATTTCCAATCGCGAAACGAACGGTGAAAAGAGACGGCGAGCGAGTTCGCCTGATTCGAGTGAGATTAATGCGACCAGCAATGGGCGCGCGTTTAACTCGGGCTATCGCGTAACAAAAGTTCATCGTGATCACGGAAGCAGCGAGGATTACATCTCGGCTTATCTTGTAAAATCGCGACTGAATCTCAACAGCTGAAAACCGCAGACGATGCATGCGCGATACGTTCAGAACGTTCCTCGCGTTATCGTTTGTCGTGAAATCAGCATCCGAAATCCCAGGCGTAAGTCCTCTCGAAACCGGGCGATAAAGTAAGTCAGCCCTCGCGCCCTTCGCTCTCCGAGCGGCAAGTCACACGCGGTCAGCATACGGAAACACAAGGAGAAACGACGATTTTATTAACCGCGAGGGATCACACTTCAATTGCGATCAACAGTTTTCCGGGAAATCGGCGGCTTCTGTGAAGCGGTGACTGGACAATTGCGAGACTCGTTCCGGTGATTTGCGAGCGAAGACGAAAGACTTGGCTTGAAGCGCCAAGCGTTCACAATAACGTCTCTCGGCCTGTGATGGCAGCAATTAGCGGCACGCGGTGGTTTCGCTGAAGGTTCTCCGGAAATTGCTTGCGCAATACTCCACGTCGGGGCAATGCGAGCCGCGAAATTCCGACTCATCTGACTGCCGTGGAAGCCGAGCGGCAACTGCCGAACTTGAATCAATTTGCTCCACTACTTGGCACTACACGCGCGCGCGTGTGCCGGATTAAGACGTTGTCTGTGTTATTATTTACGAGGAGTGTTGCAAACAAGGAGTGTTTCTGATATGTGACTTTCAGGCAGCGTCCGTCTGAAAGAAAAAAAAAAAAAAAAAAAAAAAAAAAAAACAGTTTTCCCATCAAACAAGACGGGCAGTTTTCTTTTCAACGGTTCAACGAGGAAATTCGTTTCTGAGAATTCGTTTTCGCGGAAATTCAGTTCTCTCAGATCGGTTTTTTTTTTCAAGCAGTGGATAAACAGGGGCATTTTGATAATTATATACTTTAATAACGGAGAGCGTTTTCTGTTGAGAGAACGAAGACGTATTAATCGGGCGATGAACGCGTCATTGCAATGAACGCAATCGCCGGGGAACCGAGCAGTTTTGCTTTTTACGCGATAAAGTCGTTTTCATGTGACGAGCGTTTATGTGTCGCGACGAGGTTGCTCGACTTCGCGCGCGTGTGAATTTATAATTTATGCGGATGCAAATTTCAAGCGCGGAAAATATAGCGAGCGTGCCGCGCGAAAGCGCACGCAAAGTATACGCATAGCCGATGTTGACCGATCAAACGTAATTAACTTGTTAATTGTGAATACAATATTTGCATTGTCAACTTCGGGCAACAATGTGCGGGCGGGCGCAAGTTTTCAGCGTAGCAGCCCGTCGATCGATCGATCGATCTTTTTCACGAGCCGGCTCTTTGAGCGAGTGCAATTTTGAGATTCGGCAATATTAATGCGCCGCGCTCTTCCAAACAACTGGCACATTTCAATCAACTTCGTAATTCGTATCGATTGTATCGATTGAAAACAATTGTACGTGAAATTAGATTCTTTCAATAAAACATGATTGCGATATTTCTCCCTTTCCGCAGCTCGTTGCGTTATTGCGAAATCACCCTGCACGCTCCCCATTTTTCACATCGCATGCTGGTCGCGGGAGGATCAAAGGGCTTTATATGTAACAAGAGTTTCCTTTCTACGACAATGCGCCCTACAATAAAGATTCATCGCACATCTCGAGCGGCGCTCCGCCACGTGTTCCCCGGAGACGGGCCGTATTACGTCGGCGAAAAGCTTGCCGACAACGTTAACGGACTTCGCGAGTCTTATCCGAGATTCACGACGCCGTAAAAGTGCGCGAGAACTGCGCTGCTAACTGATACGAGATCGATCTCGTTCGGCGACTTACGACGCGCGGATAATTAATGCATCCCGGACGGAAAGACGGAAGTAAGACGAGTAACGATGCGTCTTCAAGTATATTCTCCGACTGCGCAACACAGGAGCTAATTGGACACCCGGTGTGAAAGAGAGCGACACGTTCAAGCCGTTCGAGCGAATTCAGCTGGTCTCAGCTGAAGTTCCGGTGAACAGCAGCGCGAAGTGCGCGACATGGCGGTAACGCTTTGGAGCACCACGCTGCTATCTGTAATCGCGATGACATACAGGGTATAACATCAACATATACAGGGTGCTAAATTTCAAACGTAACAGGTAAAAAATCTCGAAAACTATGAAAGATATTAAAAAAAGCTAAAACACGTGTCCCATGATTTCGAAGGGGAAAGAGAATGCCATTATCAGTTTTTTATTTGGAGGGTATTTTCAAGGTCAGTTGAAGCTTAACTTAATTTTTTAAAATAGAGAGCCCAATTTTTTATTACATCTTCTTTTTCTACCAATTAATTTAACAACTTTTATCTGAAACATTTTTTTATTTGCCTAATATTTTTTGAAATATTTAAGGAAAACTTGGTAACTTTTTCAACATTTAACTTACGATATCTCGCTAACTATTCGTCGAAAGATAGAAAATAGTATTAGACTTTTTTACTTTTTTTTTTTTTACTATCAAACATATATTACTATAATAGTGCCCTAATTTTTGTTAATTTAATAATTTTGAAATTTCCAAAGGTCGATAAGTTAATTCGGACGATAATGAAGAGGTTGCCGAAAAAATCACTCGTGGATTTTGTTGATAATATTCGCAGTGCTCCCAGTTATGACAAATATAACTAACTTCACACCATGATCGTTATGACAGTTTGTCGATCGTATAAGTCTACACTGCGTTTCTAGTCGATTTATACTTTTGCAGAAGCGATCTTTTGTAGGAATATGGATGAAATACAGTATATAAAATTTTTAAATATTTCTATATCGTTTTTTCTAATCCCCAATTTCTATCGAACTTTCCGAAAGCAATTAAGAAATTATGCGAAACCAAAAAATATGTTGTATTATTTATCTCTTTAACTATTACTCTCATTTATTTTGCTTAATTCCGTAATATTTATTTCTCAGTTTCACTTTTTTAAATATCTTTTTTAATTCAATGAGGCTCGACTCGATAAACGGTCGATAAACTGTCACAGCGATCACGATGCAAAGTTAGTCGCATTTGTCATAATTGAGAGCACGGTTCAATCATATCATTATTAACAAAGTCAACGAGTGACTTTTTCAGCAATCTCTACATTATCTTCCGAATAGGGGCAAGCAACCCGTCATACTGATCTGCATGTTGATGTTACACCTGTACGATTCATGAACGATCGATCGCGGATGCGAAATGGGACATGTCGCGCTAATTGCGCCAGTTAGCACCAGTTGCCGACAATTGCGTACTGCGTAATGTCGCCTAATGGCGCTCGGCGGTCGCGAATATCGAGCGTGACCGGCGAGTCGCGGGAGGATCGGTTATCAGTCGTGTATTAAAACTGCTAACACAGGGGAGAGGGGAGGGGGAGGGTGATACAAGCCAACGTTCATTCCCGAAGCTTGCGCTCGCGAGTATCGCCGCAGTGCCGATATCCGTTCGTCGCTTATTCTTTCTTTTCGCCTTAGTCCGTCGCCGAAGCTCAGTGCGCGTTGACGAAATTTTCCGCGATATTCCCCGCGGATCACTCGGTGTGTATTTATAGCGCGAATCGCGCCCGAGCTTTTCCCGGATGTACGCCGGTTTATCGGGCTGCACAATTCCTCCCCTTGCGACGAGCGGACGAGCTTGCAAGCTCGCGAGTCTCACGGCGAGCTGATAAGTTCCCACCCTGAGCTCACGCCCGCGAGTTTGTTCGTGAAAGCGAGCGAAAACAGGCAGACGCGACCGAAGATATCAGCGATCGGTTGCGCCGATCACGTCGATCGAGAGAGACACGGATATCCGTCGGCGGGAAAATCCCGTGTGACTAATGTCGAAGGAAGAGGCCTCAATCTCTCGTCAAACTGTCCGGGACGTTGCGATGTGCAGAATAAATGACCGATCAAGCGCTCGTAATGCAGATGCACTTGTGCGGGCGTTTGTTTTTAATTAACTTTTGATTTCTATTTGTCACGTTGCCGCAAGAAGGGGGGAGAGGGAGAGGGGGGAGAGAGGGAGGGGGAGAGAGAGAGAGAGAGAGAGAGAGAGAGAGAGAATAATATCGTATCGATCGACTGGTCAATATCGCTGGCCGTCGTATCGTTTCGGGCGGAATATCGAAATATGCTGATACTCAGCTTTCATAATTCGATATCGCTGGACACGCGAATTAACGTTCAATACCACGGAATCCGAGATGAAAGCTCCGCTCCCGCGTCTACGAGTTGACGACGAATAAACGCGATTTTCCACAAACATCATCCCATCATTTCATTTAATCCCCTATTTATCGGCGTTGCATGTAACTCTCCCCGCGACACAAGCGATACAAGCGGTTACAGCTTCGCACACGTACGCATCGATCACGAACAATATCGTCAGCCGCATACACGCGCCGTCAAGAACGTCAATCACGCGCTGCGGACGCGCTGTGGAAATCCAAGCTCAAAAATTCCACTCACCTCTCGTGTCACTCGACCAGCAGGAAGACGCGCCCGCCGCCGCCGGATATCATCGAATGTGCACCGACGTGTGGACCGCCGCTTCGTTGTCGCTCACATCTTGCACGATGATCCACGTGACGAGCGCGCGGCGCGAGAGCCACGTGTCTACGAAACGACCACTTCGCGTGCTCCGACGAGACTGGCTGGCACCGGCCGGCACCAACTCGACTCGACTCGACTCGACTCGACTCGACTCGACGCGACGCGACGCGACGTGACGCCTTGACAAGGGTGGCTCTGAAGGCGAGGACTCGCCACGTCCTCGACGTGTTCTTCACTCGACGATATTAAGAATCAAGCCGCCACGCGTCCGGGCCTGTCGCGCGTCGCACGCTCCCATCTTCGTCGTGGTCTTCGCCGGCGCCGAGCCCAACGACAGTCCTAAATAGAAGCCGACGAAACAATGTTGTAGCTTTTGAAGACTGACAAGAGCAACGCGATTGATATCTCGCGATACAACAGGGGCGAGACGATCGAGAGAGACAAGGCGGGAACATCGCGCGAGTGGATCTGCGCCAGGAAATTTAAAGGACCGCCATCCCTCCATCGGCGCTTCGGGAATCGCACGATCGTGTAGATCGATATATCGACGTTAGATGGCAGGAGGGATCACCGTCGCCGTTACACGTTTGAATCGCGCGCTAACTTATGTTAATCACGCCTAATCACGGCGAATCAATTTTAACGGAATGAATTTTCACGTGAGAAACTCTGTTCCTCTGGCCGTTCTCCGGGAATAATTTCACCGTAACGATACTCCGACGCCAATCGGCCGGTCGCCGGGATCGAGTATTCGCTAACGAAATCCAATCCGAGCGACGATGCGTAATGCTCGTTGACGCTAAACGCGGCTACGGCCACGCTTCGGTACAGTCCACTCGATCGCCGCTTTAATTAGAATCGGAGATCTAACGATATTTTACCGTGCTCGTTCGCCGTTTTGCTCGTCGCCTTCGGGATTCTCGGCGAATCTGCCGGTGCCCTCGTCGGAAGTGTTCGTTCGACCGGTTTCAGGGTAGTGGCCGTCCGACGAATGGCCATCGACTTAACTCAAGCTGCTCTCCGAGTCGCGACACGCTCGCGTCGGAATGGGGAAGTGGTCCCGCGATTCGAAATGGTCGAATTCGCGAGTGAAGACACCTCGCCTGTCGATCGATCGCCTGTGGATCACGGACGCAGATTCCGCGTACGCAGACGTCCGCGAAATCGCAGACGCGGATACGAACGCGACCGACTGCGGACCGCGACTGCAATGAACTTACTCGCGCTTGGCGAACGCGCGCGCGGAACCGCGGCGCGCATGTACCGCGCGGCGTGCGACCTGAAGTTCGCCCGATCTAGCGCCCGATCTTCCGCTCGCTAATACGCGATAATGTCGGCGCTGTTTCGCTGGTAAATTCCGTTTGAATTTCCGTCACATACATTTTTCGCTTTAATTTCTAAATCTCACTTAGCTGAGATGCTCTCTCTGTCGGGAATCTAGCAATTCGCACGTCTCTCTTCCGTGTGACTCTTATAATCGATGGATGAATACGAAACGGGAGTTTCAAATTTGAAAGTTTAATTTGAATTATTTAAATTGCAGGACAGGAGTCAAATCAGTGTTGATGGAAAGTTGGAAAGCAAATCGGTAACTATGTTCTGGCTTAGCAATGTTATCTGCGAAAGTTTTCGCTAAGTCAACTTTGTATACCATATTCGTTCAACGCTGCTCTGTGTTGTTTTTTGCATTTATATCTGTCTATTTTTTCATTTTTTATTTTTTATTTTACGGAAGTGACATACTGTATGTGAAGTTTCCTTTGCATTTCATACTGATATTTATATACAAGAGTAGAGGTAGAATATTTTGCCCTTCTAGATTGAGCAGAGACAAACTGCAGTGCGTATAGAAAAGAGAAGAAAAACGAAACGTTCAAAATGAGTCGCGCTTGCGTGTACGAAAAATGGAAAAATACAGCATTTTTAAACAGAACACAGCTCAAACTCGCATGAGGTATTCTGTGTGCAAAAGACAATCGAGCGAGTTGCCAAAAATGATTTGTGAAAGCAGTGACAGATAATTGACATTGACTGAAGACTTTCGAATTCAATTTATGATTCGAATCCATTTTTATGATTAAGCTTTCGAACTCGAAAATTTGTAGCTTAGAAAATAAACACGTAATGACACTCAGTCACAACCGTTGTAGCCGATTGCAGAGATTATATGAAATACATTTATTAAATGTAAGGTATCTCCTTCCTTGCAATTTCTCCCTGTCCTTTTTCCCTATCAATCATCTCATCTATGATCGATAAATTATCGCAGAACGTGATTTGCAAGAAGAAATGTGCCTGCCAGTTACGGAGGTGGAAAATTTGCGGTCATTCACAAGCAACGAGCCGAGATTAGATACCGTCGGTTGAAAAGGTGGACGATCATTGAGAGTTATGGTAATGGAACGAGGTGGATGACCCAATTTTGAAAGGACAAAAGGGACGTTCCGTTGCGCCAGGGCAAAGTGCCGACCTGTCTGCACAGCGAACAGGATCGGTTAGAAGAGAATCTTCGGAGACTACATCGAAGATTTCCATCTTTTTCTTGCTATCCTGTAAAAATAGAAATTAAAAACCAACTGAAGAAATATTATTATATATGTTAACATAATGTTCTCATGTATGTGTTGAATATATCTTCACCTGCGTGCGTGACACCATATCAGTTCTAATTGTAGAGTCTCATTAATTAATTATGTGTGTGTGTGTGTGTGTGTGTGTGTGTGTGTGCGTGTGCGTGTGCGTGTGCGTGTGCGAGGTCCCACAAGATTTACATTCGTTCCTGATCTCGAGTGTCGCAGCGTGTGCTCGACAGCGATATCCGTATATGTTATTTCACACCGGCGAGATAGAAAAGGACCCTCGGGATGAAGAAACGCGGAGGTGTGGGCACTCTGAGTTACGGTATGCCGAAGCATGTTATTTCAAAACGCTCATCCGTGAGTTGATTTGTTCTGGCAAAATCGCTCTCTCGCTGCATTAGCAAACTAACTTTTGTTTATTGATAATTTCGAGAGCAAGAAAGAGAGAGAGAGAGAGAGAGAGAGAGAGAGAGAAGACAAGTCAGTTCGCGGCATAAAACTGCCCATCGAGGTCTGCTCGTTAATAGAAAGAATTGGTATCAAGAAAATCGTCCAACCTCTTATCTGGCTGTAAAAAAAAAAAAGAAAAGATATTAAAAGGACAAATATATCGCGGGCAAATTTCTTTCTCGTTACTTTTCACAATCCATTAAATAATTAACTTGTGTGTATTCGGATAGAGTAGCGCGCAACTTGGTTGACACGTATTTCGCTATACAAATGTCTAACTAAATTGGAAGTACGGTAAATAGATTTCATTGTATGAGATGAGGTAATAGTCAGGTATTCGGAGTCGCGGGAATGGAATGAAGTGGATGACCTAATTTGCGAAGAACAAAAGCTCAGCCACACAAACTCGACGCATCAAGGAATGGCACCAACCGCGGTTTCGACAAGGTCGCTCGGCGCTGACCTTGACGGGCTACTTCGTGCAGGAGACACGGAGGGACATTGACGATGTGACGGTCGCTTAGCGAAAAATATATCGTCATATATTTCGATCGATTACCATCAAATACAAAAAGTTAAAATTTATTCTTACTTATTCGTAAAATTCTATCTCGTGTCGCGTGCATACATACATAGAATAACGAAAGTATTTCTAATTAATCAGACATTAGAAAGTCGAATTGTAAAATTTACACAATATACATGTGCACGAAGCGATAAAGTATATTATTTACAATAAATGACCTCAACAATTCGTACTTTCTGATCGTAGAACAGCGTCTTAACTAGTCGTCATGGCTCAGTTTATACATCGTACTCGTTGCAAAATTCAATCTCGTGATATGTCTCGGCTATCCAGCCCAGGAAATACTTGATTTTTTCCGTTGCCTCATCGGTAGCTTTGTAGCCTTCGATAGCCTCGGTGAGACATTTTGATAAAAGTTTTAACAAAGGCTGCGAACAAGAGGCTTGATATTAATCGCGAAGATACGCGGTAGAGTAGTGCTCGATTCGACACAAAGGAAGACAGAACAATAGGATACTTGAATAATTTGTAAAAGTATCGAGTAAAAGTAGAAAAAATTATAAAGCGTCTTATATATATATATTTAAGTATATGTAGTTTAAGTATATGTATATTTTATATCCAAAATACATTTTTGTCCTTTTTAGTTTTTATTTAACGATTCGTGCCATATTGCGTACACTTACCACAGGCCAGTCCTGTCTGAACAAGGCTACACACTGATCACTTAGACTGTCTCCATCGAGTATTTCGGCTTCTAATAACCTCCTTAAAAATTTACCGTAGATCGGCCACATTATATCGTTTTCCGGTTGCGCAAACAACATCATATTTCGAGGACAAAATAGCCTATGCATGGGTGAGTCGTCTTGGTCGTCTTTCAAACAATCCAACGACCATATCTTGATTAATTTATCTTGTACCTCTCGTGCAAAGAGGTCCGATCTGTATGCAACTGAAAACAAGCAGCGTGATCGTAAAATTTTATAGTTTTGTAAAATTTTGTAGTTTTTCTTCTGTACTATAGATGTACCTAAAAATAGGGAGAAGTCGATACTGAGATTATATAAGACTTTTTCCGGTCCCGGTAACAGATCAGCCCTCTGATTGAACGTACAATACATTTTGTCTAAAATATCCAATACTGAAGACATAGTCATACTTTCCCCTCTATTATCTACCATGTCCCATATTAATTCCTGTAAAAAGATACAAAGTAGAAATATACACCTAAATATCAATAAAACGAGGAAAATTTAAAGTTGTCAAAAGAAAAAATTATTTCTCAAGTATTAAAAGATTTAAAGTATCATCAATATTCAAAGTCTTATGAAGGAATCCTTACTCTGAGTTTGTCTATCACAACAGTAGGACTAGGAGCGTCTGAACTGTGACGTTTCTCTTGCTTGGTATGCACCGGACTGTTATTCCGAAGAAATCTATTGATCTCGAGTTCCATGTCCTTGATGAATAACGAACCACCGACGATGTGCGATTGAATCCACTGATATATCCGTTCCATAGCCATCCTAGTCGTAATCTTTATGCACATCTCCTTCACCGGTGTCAAAGAGTCTTCCGCAAGTAGCGATTCTATCGCTGTTGTGACTCGCGTCTCGCAAATCATCGGAATCGTTTTTTCGCACTGCTCCTTCAACTCTTTCGACACGTTATTGGCCAAAGTATTCATGTCATTCGCAAGAAGATCCTGAATATAAAGGATATTAAATGTGACACATTTGTAACAAAAGTTACGATATTACGTTGTAAGAGTACACTGCAAAACAAGATTGTCCTTTGGTCTAAGTAAAATTTTTACCTTAAATTCCTTAATATAATTCATAGAAGATTCGCTTTGCGTTTCAGAATCTCTCTCAATGTGCATTTGTTTCAAGATTTTTCGGAAAGAATTCAAATTAGCTTCTCGCGAAGAGGACAGCATCGTGTTGCATATATGCTTCACGCAAGTTGACGCAACTCTGTCGGAAACGAAATCGACGGTTTTCCGAGTGGAAGCCGGTTGGCCATGAAAAAATGCTTCTTCCAGCTGAAGCTGCGAAAATATGAAAAACAAATATTTATAAGTATAACATACGAGAAATATAACTTTAGGAACATAAAAAGCAGAGGCGTACCTCTAAATGCTTAGCACGTGTGCCGCCGTTAAGTTTGCGCAGTTGACTGGTAACTGGCGTGACATGTTTGTTGGAACTGATACTTAGATTCGTCCCAGTACCGTTTAACACAGAGATTGTCGAGTCTGTTCGCGGACAACACATGCGCATTGTTCTGTCGGTAATTATGTCCAGTTTGTCCAAATTACATTTGACGGAAATTGCACAGTCAGTGACACAATGAGAGTTCCTTTTTTGAACGGAAGATTTCTCCATTTGCTTGAGAGTTTTTAGTTCCTTGATCTTGCAAGTACTCTGCCAAATGATGTAAAAGTCTTTGGGGAAATTCGGCAATTCAAACAGCCAGCATAAACTGGATTTGAGGAGCACAACTGCTTGTTGAGAAATCAGGCAGTCAGGAGCGGAGAAATCGATATGATTGATAGCACAGTAAACGCAATAGAGTAGCTCTAAAACTTGCTTATAGTAGGGTAAACGAAGAGATACTACATCCATCATGGCTAAGTACTTCACTATCCAAGGTATCGTCAATGAGAG